AGGGAAAGGAAAACAAGGAGATGGAGGAAAGGAATAGAAGGCTTTTTTTATTTTCAGCCTTCCTAGAATGACTGCACTGGAGTCTTTGCTGGCTTTGTTTCCAAATTGCTTCCTGCATTTAAATTAAATAATGAAAGCCTGGAAAACCCCAAGTCATTAGAAATATGCTAAAGTTTCTCTTTATTCTGCAGGCGTTTCTGATTACGTGCAGATCGTTATTTTGGGCTTTGCATAACTTGAGTAGCTGACTTAAAATGTGTTAAAATGAATTAAAATTACCAGCATAAAGTCACCATTTAAGTAACACAGCTGAATACAGCTGGAAAGGGTACAGGAATATCTGTGTACCCCTCTCCGGCTGCACTTCCTCATCTTCCTCCCCTCGAAGATCATTGGTTTATTATGCAGATAGCACAGGCTGCGTCTTTTGCTAAGTTCCATTGCAAAGCTAATAGCCAAGGCAATTGTGTGGATAAGCAGAGACTTAAATCATTTGGAAACTGTTGAAAGAGGACAGATCTGATAATAATAACCTTCATGGCTGGCAAGTTACAGCTGCTTTTGACAACTTGTAACGATGAAGGCTTATAGTAAAGTTAAGAGCTAAATATCTGTATTGTGCCATGGGATCAATTTCAATTCCCAAGTATAAAGCTTCAAACTTTAGACTGTTTCTATCATCTTTGAGGATCCTTTTTTTTCTCTAGGTTAAAAAGGAGTTGTTTTGTTGTTTTTTTTTTTATAAATGTTAGAATGTTTATTTATTTCTGATTTTTTTTCTTTAACACAGTGGGACAGCTTAGTTAATTTATTTCAGTGCAAAGGAAGTGTAGTTGTATTGAAGCCACAGGTGTTTCTCACTTATAGCAGAAGTTACAGAAAGGATGTTGTATGAACATGATTTGCATCATCTCAGAACATTTTATATTCTATAGTGGTGACTTCCAGACTGCACATAGGTAACAATTTTAGTGGCATGTGTTAAGAAAGATCTCAAACAGTATGTGCAAAAGGTCTCATCAGGATCTGCAGGTTGCACCAATAGCTTTATCAAAGAAAATATTAAGGAAATAAAAAAATGTCACTGGTGTTGTTTGCATGTTGACACCGAATTTGCTGTGATGAAAGTGGATAATGAATAACCAATTGTTTACAACGCATCTGAACACAAGAGCACAGGTCTATATTTAGGAATATAGGCCATACTTGCCCACTGGGTAACAGTGAGCTACCACTAACTATAGGTTAGAGAACGTGAACATTAATTTCTAGTGTACTGCTGCGTGTAAGGCAGTTAATGCCATTCTTAGTTGCATTTTAACTGGAATTTCCCACAAGAATGAGAAAGTGACGTTCTGTGGCACAGAACATCAGTGACAGCCCTTGGGGACTCCTGTGCCCCAACAGAGTATTTTAACAGTGGAGTGGGTTCAGAAAAGAGCAATGAGAAGTGCAGACAATCTGCTTCACAGTGAATGATTCAGAAAGCCGTAAATTTTCCGGGAACAAAAGAGAAGGTTGGGGTGGTTGGGTCACCGTCGGTAACTACCTGCAGAAGGTGGAGGGTTTGCTCATGCAGGGCCGATTGGCTGGCAGGCAAGGGCACGGGAAGATGTAGTGGCTGAAAGCTGAAGTGAGACCAATTCAGATTAGATGCACATTTTTAAATCAGAACAATTGGCAAAAAGGCTTAGCAGAGGATGGCATGGGCTGCCTTCAGCTTCAAACAATGGAACTGGGAGAGCACATCTTTCTAGAGAGACACAGCATGGCTCGGTCACAAATATGGACCCAATGCAAGGATGGCTGGGTGAAATGGCCCAACCTGGGCTATGCAGGTGGTCACATAGAGGATTGCAGTGGGCTGATGTTGCATATTGCCTAGCAGTTTACAGCTCATGGTCTAAAAACACTCAGCAAATGGGGATAGTGCTGCCTTCCCCGCTGTCTCTAAGAGAAGGGGAAAGGAGCAGAAGTTAAATGGCTGCTGGGTCACACATCAAACCAGCGGCTGGGGGGGGGCTAGAGCAGAGCCTGCTGCCTGCTTGGACTGCATTTCATCAGCAGACACCTCCCTCCTTTTCCCCAGGCAGGAGCACAGCCTGACCTGAGAGACGTTTGCAGTGATGAACCCAAAATTTGGATTTCTCCTTTGAGTATCTCTCAGAGCCCAGCAAAAGAAATAATCTGATGGCATGCATCCAGGTTCGTTAGTGAGGGTTGTAGCTGGATTACGCCTGTTTACCAAGGGGGTAATGATGCTCCCTGCAACAGTTGGGTCAGCAAACTCCCCGCAGTCAGGGCGCAAGCAGCTGCTTTTACAGCCAGAAGTGCAATTTACAGACAAATCCCAGTTGTAATCAAGGCAACCAATTTCCGATGATCAAGGTCTGGCATTTCCTGGGGACAGAAGGGATGTGTGCAAGAGAGAAATGGGGTCAGGTGATGGGTTAAATTGCACCTAGATATGATTTGACAATCACTCCCCTGGTAACAGCTTATAATGTTTACAATTTGTCTTCTGTTTTGTTTTGTGATTTCAGGAGCAGAAGGCACAGTGTTCCCTAAATCTATAGAAACTCCCAATGTCAGGGCAGACCCCTTCAAGGAACTAAGGTAAACTTTGCAATATGGTCTAACGGTAACTCAGTGGCGCCTTGCTTGAGTTGTGCGTACTGCTGGGCATCATTTCTGCTTTTGCATAAGAGCTTGGGGGTTCGCTTTGGAAGGCATCGCCAAGGGGATGCCATGGAAGAGAAGGGACCTGCTGTGTTTACGTGTAATAGGACCGAGCTAAAGACAATCATGGGTCATGAGAGCATAGTTTCTGCTCCGTAACATGCCCTGCTTACCCTGGGCTCAGCCTTTGAAAAGAAACGGAGAAATCTTTTCCTGGTTGTGCAGGAAGGTGCTGGAGTCCGTGCTGTATCACAGGGAGTTGCAGCAGGCAGAAGGATAAAGCTCTCCAGCATTATAGGTCTTGCAGAAAAGCAAACCCTCCCTGACCTACACAGGGTCTAGCTGTGCATGCAAGTAACTGCTGACGCTCGCAGAGATGCCGCTTGCTGACAGCAATGTATCAGGAGAGAATAACCAGCTTTGCCCTCAAGCTAATGCTGGGCATTATATTTATTTTATATTAAAAAAAAAAAAAAAAAAGTGTGGCACTACAGGTTAGTTTGGATGACTAGTCTCTGAAAAGAGACTAATGATATGGCCTAATAAATTATTGACTGAATCTCCTGAATATCTTCTGACCAAGAGGGCTATCAGGGTTTGCCATCAATGCTCTAATTATCCTTCCTTAGAAAAAGAGAGGGAGGGAATAGGTGAAAAAATCTCCAGAAGGACACCTAGTCCTTAGGTCTTTGGTTGCAAACTCTCCTTTCCTGGAAACTGCTGGGGATGAAGCAATCTTCAGGCAGCTGATGTTGTGCAGAGGAGCACTGCAGATTTACTGTGGATGCCCTGAGATGCAAGAGGACCACTCATTAGCTCCCTCTGCTCTGATACCATGGATAGTTATAGCCCAGCTAGATCACCGTGGAAGATGAAGGATATCCTGGCTGCCTTCCCTTGGGTCTATCAGTATCTTTCAGTTTCTCTCTGGAAACACTCTAATTCTTCCCATTTTGTACACCAGGGATCGTGTGTCAGACAGCAAGTGCAGTGGTGGTGGGATTCAGTTTGTTACAAAAGTTTGTTCTCTTTCTCCGTGCAGTGACTTTAACCCTGCCTTGGGATCTTCCCAATCTTGGTATACTTGCTTTAAAACAAGAGAATACAGGGTCTTTGCTCAGCCTGACATGAAAGTGCCAGGGCAGCTCCCGGGTGTGCTGTGGAGGAAGGAGCCCCAGGAGGGCAGGGTGCGGTGGCGTGGAGAGCACGTACCCTCTGTTTTCCCAGGCAGAGCAAGCAGACAAAGTAGTCAGCGGGTGGGTGGATTTGTAGGTGAAGTTTAGGTGATGAAGGCTTCCTGGCGCAGCCCACATTCTCAGGGGGAAAAGAAAAAAAAATCGTGCTTAAAATATGCGATAGCAGCTAAGTAACTTGCAAAACCAGGTCTCTTTTTCAGCAGTGCAAAAGAGAGGCAAGGTTTAGGTCCAAGTTTGTAGTTACTTAGGACTTTTCTAAACATGGGAGGGGAATTTAATTCAAGTAAGTGTAGGGTGTCATATTAGAGGGGACAAATGTGAATTAAAATGGCCTTGATCTGATTGAGTAAGCTTCTGTTCCAAAGAACATTAAGCTGAATGAAATTGAAATGAATTAATGGCGGTATCCATGCAAGGGGGTGATTCAGTATATCTGATCTGCTTTAAATTCAAGTTGTTATTTCACTTGTTTTATGTAGAGAGATGTTAAATAACTTCCTTTGGAATTAGTGGACTGGGTGAAAAAATCCTGTAAAAATCTGGTGGGCTTTTTTCTTTTTCTTTTTTTTAAGGGAAAATCATTGCATAGCATTTACTTTGAAAAAAAAAATCATCTTGGCAAAAATAAATGCTTTTTCCACCACCTTGAGAAGAAAAGAGCCAATGGTAGCACTGTGTAGAGAAATCAAGGTTTCCCAAGAGCAAATGCTCTATTCCTCCCCAAACCAAGAACCATCCATCTCTCTCTCTACATGTTGGAGCACTGGCTGCTTCTTAGGTAAAATGGTGCCTTTTGGATGAAGTACAGAGTTAATAGAGAAAATAATCTTACTCTGGGGGACCACTTTTTGGTACCTTCCTATTTTGATAGCAGAGTGTGTGCATAAGGTGTCCTTTTGGCCTATTTAAAAAGATGCTGCAGTGAAATGGGACTGAATGAGATGGCAGCCAATGGGTCCCGAGCTGCCATACGTTGCTAGGAAAGCAGCATTGTAAACATCCACTCTGTAGCTGGCTTGGCTCTAAAAGACCTTTTTCTAAAATAAATAGTGCAAACTTTCTTTCCTCCTTAGGCTGAAGTTCTCAGGGGGGGGAAGCACACATTCAGCTATTGAAGGCTGTCGCCAGGCACCACCAACCTCCATCACTCTTCCTAGACCAAATGGTTGCGATCAGTTACGTGATTTATCCATTTGCTCTTTTCAGTACCATACCAACTCCCACTTTTTCGTTAGGAGACTTCAAAATAAGGTGACAGCGACTGTCACTATTGGAAGGAGAAGAGACCAACTGCTCCTGTCACCACTGGGAGTCAGACCATCTGTATGTCTTCTTTCCCTTCCTCCTCTCCTTAACAGACAGACTGATTTCCCCTGCAAGATAGGGACTACGCCATCGTGCCAGTCATCTCTGTTTCTTTCCTTCTTTTCCTCCCGTCTCCCAAAGGCCTTCAGTCGTGCCCATGTGTCACGAAGACTGACATGCTCCAAGTGACAGCACCCACATTCTCGACAGACTTTCTATTGCCATTCAGCTGACAAATGGTCTTCAGTTTGTATAGCCTAAACCATTGATTAGTAAGCGGCTGCTCTACAAGGTGGTCACCATCCTGGAGAACAGACAAGGTGCAGTCCTCTTTTCTGAGGGCCCATTTTGAAACACTTTTGTCTGCAGTGGTTTAGATGGAGAAAATTCAGGTGGCAATATGTGCGTGGCTTTTTCCTTACACGCTAAGCCCATCACAAGGCTGCAAGAATTGATCCGGTGCTTGTTTGAACCAGGTCTGGACTTTGCTGTTGAGTCTTCTCAGGAGGTGCTCTCCTGTGCTGCGGACAGACTCGTGTCCTAAAACAATCCTATCAGTTGTAGTAAGAATGCCAGAGCTCATAAATGTCTTGTTTAGTGCAGGGTGTTATTAACAGTTCATGTTTCCTATTTGGGATCTAGAAGATTCTTTAATAATGACCTAAGAACTAGAGATGGTTGAAAATCTATTTGATATACTTCTGTGAACGTTTCCGTGGTTTTACTATTTAAAGTAATTTTAGACACTTAAAAATTTTGGTAGTTGTTAGTTTGGTTCTAAACTGGTCAAAAACAGTAAAAAGGAAAGCAAACATATTCAAATTATTTTCAAATTCTTGGAATGTTTAACATTGCCATTCAGTATCATCCCAAAATAGGTTAGGGGGAGGGCTTGGGAGATTTGTTTGGACATTGAAATATTTGTACTCATCTACATTGGTTCTTTTTAATGCAGGCTGGTGTGTTTGACATACGGCAATGTGAGTGCCCACATGTAAAAGTTGAATCCAAGATGACCTTTTCTCACTGGATTGTTTTAGTAGCACCCAGGTAACTTGGTAAGAGCCTGTCTTGAGAGCCTCTCCTTGACACTGGCAGGGGGCACCTGCCTTCCCCTCTTTTTTTTTTTTTCCA